GTGTAAATCTTTAAAACACACACGACATTTTAGTGTTAAATGATACGTCCCTGCCATTTTACTTTTTCGCTTACAATTTTTTAAACTTGTCGACAATTTTGTTATTGTATAACAAATCTTAACTGTGTATAAAATAATTGGGCACCTTTGCTGGGAATTGTCGAACAAAGTCTGTTCAATAGATACACGCAAGCTCGGTAAACGCGTCGATTTTGTTTTTCATTTAAACATAAAATCAGCAGCTGAGGCTGCTTATTAATTCTCTTTATGGATAACAACTTCGGGTTTAAACTTAATACAACAAACCAGAATGTCAGTAAAAATATATAACTTCTCTCTCCCCAATTCATCTTCAATTATCCACTATACCATGTTGTGGTAAATTTAATAGACTTGAAATACGCTGCACTGGATATTGAAGATGTTCTTACATCACATTTTTCACTGTATTCCAGTCTATTTTTTTAATCAGGGCTACATTTTACTTTAGTTTCTCCGTTGTAAGAAAAACCGAATGAGCCGTGCTCACCTTTCAGACAAATATTTAAACAAAAGTTATAAAAACACCAAGAGAAGCGGATTCCACGTCATAGATTATCCCGATCACATTAACAACACTATAATATCCCAACTTTGTAAACCGCGACAAAAGCCCTGTAAACATAATGATGGTTTCAAGCGGAGTATCAAGTAACAATGTACACCTGTTCCAAGCCACTACACCTGTTCAACCAATCACAGGCCTGTAATAACACGGGACATTCAAACTATGGCGATCCAACTATGGCTCCGGTTTTCCCAAGCTGTTGCAATCCAGGAAGGTACTTTCCCGGTATTAATGACGCGGTGACGTCACAAAGACTGCGCCACCAGTACAGGTAATCATAAGCTGAGCACTAGATAAACTAACTACCTGTTGAAGTACTCGCTGCACTCAGAGCGAACGAGCAAACAATTAATCGGGGGATGAGGAAGAGTTACTGAATATTAATAACAAGGGGACTGCGTTTTATACTACATCTGTTACACCCACAATAATAAACAGGAATCGAGCACCTGTCGAGTAACACACGAATAACACCTCGATTGCCTGTCAGATACAAGGTATTTTTGTATAGTTTTCATTGTCTAATGCTATACGTAGAATTGTTTCGTTCATGTCAGCGATGAGATCATTAGGGTTGATATGAATATACTGAGGAGCAAAAGAAAGTACACCGCTCAGCTGAATTTGTCATGTTTAATTTTCATTTGAAAATATCTTAAGTTAGCGATTAAATTAATAAATCATATGTGCTAGCGCAATAGTCAACACTTATACTCTATACAGTTTTATTTTTGAATATATGATTTGATTTAAAACTTTACAAATGAAAGACAAATAACGCATAGTGCACAACTGCTAATCTGCCAACATACATCTTAACTCAATAAATTCGTTTTCGAGGGGGCATGTGCAACTTTGCAAAAACGTAATCGCCCACATGGCTGAGAGTTCATTTCTTACCCAAGTCTCCTTTGAATGTTTTGTTTGCACACTATTATTTAGCCACAGATTACTATTTTCAAACCTTGAAGGAGTCATCGCTGGTTGAATGGACATCGTTACATAGTTCTTGCAATATTCATGTGCATTGTATTACTCTCTTTGGCCCCTCAGATTGTAATATGTCCACACCAGAGTAAAATCTATCGAAACTGTGAGTGAGTATGGTTTTACGCCGCATTTGGCAATATTCCGGCAATGTGACGGCGGGGGACCCCAACAACTGGCTTCACGCTTCGTACCAATATAGGGAATCGAACCCGTGACTTCGGCGTGACGAGCAAACGCTATAACTACCAGGCTACCCCACTGGCCCTATCTCCCGAAACAGAGTGAGTGAGTGAGTTTGGTTTTACGCCGCTTTTAGCAATATTCCAGCAATATCACGGCGGGGGGACACCAGAAATGGGCTTTACACATTTACACATTGTGCCCATGTGGGGAATCGAACCCGGGTCTTCGGCGTGACGAGCGAACGCCTTAACCACTAGGCTATCCCACCTACCCTCCCGAAACAGATAGCACTAGGGGCGACATGTATATGAATGGATGACTGAAATTCAGTGATGACACCAGGTGTTTGCGAAACGGACATACATGTAAATGAATGTTTTCGTTTGTTAAACCAATAAAGATTAACTTAAAGATGCTTTGTTAGAAACTTTTATCGTCGTTTTAGGGGATGTTACATGTTCTCAAAATTTTGGAGAGGTAATAGAATGGAAAATGTATGTAAAATTGTATACTCACCTGGCAACGAAGTCACACACTACTAGGAGCATAGCTCACACACTACTAGGAGCATAGCACACACGCACACGCACGCACGCACGCACACACTACTAGGAGCTTAGCTCACACACACGCGCACACGCACACACACTACTTAGAGCATAGCTCACACACACGCACATACACACACACTACTTAGAGCATAGCTCACACACACTCGCACACACACACACTACTAGGAGCATAGCTCACACACTACTAGGAGCATAGCTTACACACACGTATACACACACACTACTAGGAGCATAGCTTACACACACGGACACACACACACTACTAGGAGCATAGCTCACACACACGCACGCACACACTACTAGGAGCATAGCTTACACACACGGACACACACACACTACTAGGAGCATAGCTCTCACACACTCACGCACACACTACTAGGAGCATAGCTTACACACACGGACACACACACACTACTAGGAGCATAGCTCAAACGCGCGCGCGCGCACGTGCGCACACACACACGCACACACACTAGTCTATCGGGGCGGTGGGGTAGCCCAGTGATTAAAGCGTTGGCTCGTCACGCCGAAGACCGAATCCCCACATGGGCACAATGTATGAAGCCCTTTTCTGGTTTCCCCTGCCGTGATGTTGCTGGAATATTGCTAAAAGCGGAGTAAAACCAAAATTCAGTCAGTCACTAGTCTATCCCACCGCCCTTGTCGAAGAAAACCACAATAGGTTCGAATGTGTTGGTTTCAAGTGGTTCCTCGTTGTAGAGCTAGGGCCACCCTTAAAGGAGCTGAATGGAATAAAATGTGCATTTATCTGTCAACAGTTTAAACCACTGCCACATAGTTGAGGGGTTCCTGTTCGCCACAGCTGTTAGGAATGGGAGATTCAAAATAATTCGACCATTAACTTACCAATTCCGGCAGTTATCGTAAAGGGACAGTACGAATAAACGTTTCAGCCCAACGGAAACTCCGTGCTACAGAGCTGAATGTTTGACAGGTTAAACATCGAAACTCCGTGCCACAGAGCTGAATGTTCGACAGTTGAAACACGGAAACTCCGTGCCACAGAGCTGAATGTTTAAAAGTTGAGACTCGGAAACACCGAGCCACAGAGCTGAATGTTTGACAGTTGAAACACGGAAACACCGAGCCACAGAGCTGAATGTTTGACAGTTGAAACACGGAAACTCCGTGCCACAGAGCTGAATGTTTAAAAGTTGAGACTCGGAAACTCCGAGCCACAGAGCTGAATGTTTGACAGTTGAAACACGGAAACTCCGTGCACAGAGCGACTGAAACTCCCGTGCCACAGAGCTGAATGTTTGACAGTTGAAACACACGGAAACTGAATGTTTGACAGTTGAAACACGGAAACTCAGTCCAGTGCCATAGAGCTGAATGTTTAAAAGTTGAGACTCGGAAACACCGAGCCACAGAGCTGAATGTTTAAAAGTTGAAACACGGAAACTCCGTGCCACAGAGCTGAATGTTTGACAGTTGAAACACGGAAACTCCGTGCCACAGAGCTGAATGTTTGACAGTTGAGACACGGAAACACCGTGCCACAGAGCTGAATGTTTAAAAGTTGAGACACGGAAACCCAGCTGCCACAGAGCTGAATGTTTGACAGTTGAAATACGGAAACTCCGTGCCACAGAGCTGAATGTTTGACAGTTGAAATACGGAAACTCCGTGCCACAGAGCTGAATGTTTAAAAGTTGAGACTCGGAAACACCGAGCCACAGAGCTAAATGTTTGACAGTTGAAACACGGAAACTACGTGCTACAGAGCTGAATGTTTGACAGTTGAAACACGGAAACTCCGTGCTACAGAGCTGAATGTTTAAAAGTTGAGACTCGGAAACTCCGTGCCACAGAGCTGAATGTTTGACAGTTGAAACACGGAAACTCCGTGCTACAGAGCTGAATGTTTGACAGTTGAAACACGGAAACTCCGTGCCACAGAGCTGAATGTTTAAAGTTGAGACTCGGAAACACCGAGCCACAGAGCTGAATGTTTGACAGTTGAAACACGGAAACTCCGTGCCACAGAGCTGAATGTTTAAAAGTTGAGACTCGGAAACACCGAGCCACAGAGCTGAATGTTTGACAGTTGAAACACGGAAACTCCGTGCTACAGAGCTGAATGTTTGACAGTTGAAACACGGAAACTCCGTGCCACAGAGCTGAATGTTTAAAAGTTGAGACTCGGAAACACCGAGCCACAGAGCTGAATGTTTGACAGTTGAAACACGGAAACTCCGTGCCACAGAGCTGAATGTTTGACAGTTGAAACACGGAAACTCCGTGCCACAGAGCTGAATGTTTGACAGTTGAGACACGGTAACACCGTGCCACAGAGCTGAATGTTTGACACCATTGGTATTTAGAATCATCGTTGCTGTAACACTGACAGCTGATCCGCGTACCCGTCGTATCGCTGAATAAGTCACAAAGACTTTACACATAAACCACTTTTAATTGACCCATACACACGTGCATTCACCATGTTCGAACACAAGACAACACAATTGGTCCAGTTAAATGGAGCCCCACCGCATACACGAATGAGCACAGCGGATAGTAGGCAAGTTAATATGTTCACATAACGGCACTTCGACCTAACATTCAGGGTGTTGCCAAATAAGGCAGAGAGGTTCGTCGTATTATGTGCCGCTAGCCGAATCAATAGGCTATATTTATAAACACTCGCTGAAGTTGCGCGAAGTGTCGTCACTAATCTCCGTGGCGCGCTGTGGGTAGGACGGATTGACAAGGGTGTGTAGCCCGTGGGTGAGGTACGCGTGAACCGGAGTAATGTGAGCTATGAAGGTCCTCCCTTCACCCCTCTTGTACTTCCTCCTGGGGGGTGACACTACCCCTGATTCTTGGACTTCACTGTGAGTTGGATTGTGAGGTAAGTTCACATGCTATGACACTTTAGGTGTGTCAAGTTCTAATCACGAAGAATACCGCGGCGTAAGAGCTAATCTTCAGCTATAGAAATGTCGTGTTGACTGGACTAGTTTCTGTTCTGTATGTGCATGTCCGAAGTGGTTGCGCGGAATGTAATATCACCTCTATCTTGAACAAACTCCCAAGTTGTAATAAAAATGATAGTAATAGCAGTATTCGTAGTAGAAGCTGTAAGTAGTGGTAGTAGCAGTAGCTGATGTCGTCGTCGTTGTCGTAGTAGTAGTAGTAGCAGTAGTAATAGTAGCAGCAGTAGCAGTAGCAGTATCAGTAGTAATTGTAGCAGCAGCAGGAGCAGTAGTAGTAGTGGTGGTGGTAGTAGTAGTAGTAGTAGTAGTAGTAAGTAGTGGTAGTAGTAGTCTACGTCGCCGTCATACCAGTAGTAGGAGTTGTAGTCGTAGTAGTAGCAGCAGCAGCAGCAGTAGTAGTAGTAGTAATAGTGGTGGTGGTAGTAGTAGTAGTAGTAGTAAGTAGTGGTAGTAGTAGTCGCCGTCATAGTAGCAGTAGTAGTAGTAGTGGTGGTGGTGGTGGTAATAGTGGTAGTTGTAGTAGTAGTAGTAAATAGTACTAGTCGGCGTTGTCGTCATAGCTGTAGTAAAAGTAGTAGTATCAGGAGCAGTAGTAGTAGTAGTAGTAGTAGTAGTAATAGTAGCAGTAGTAGTAATAGTAGCAGTAGTAGTAGTAGTAGTAGTAACAGCAGTAGTAGTAGTAATAGTAGCAGTAGTAGTAGTAGTAGTAGTAGTAGTAGTAGTAATAGTAGCAGTAGTAGTGGTGGTGGTGGTGGTGGAATTGGGTTTAACGTCGTGCTTGAGGATATTTCTCTCATATGACGACGTGCATGCGTGGATATGTGTATGTGCGGCTGCTTGTACTAGCCCAGACTGAAGCTGGTTTTATAGTGCTAGCCCACTGAGATACCATGCCGCAGTGAAGCATGAATACCCCACTCAGACACATTATACTGACTCCGAACCGACCAGTCCTTGTTGTATCCGATAATGCCGAGCGCTAGGCAGGGACCAACAAGTACCATATTTTAACGTCTTTTGGTATGACGCGGTCGGGGATCGAACCCGCGACCTTCCGCACTCCGGGCGGACGCTCTAACCACTACACCACGGAGGCGGTCCGTAGTAGTAGTAGTAGTAGTAGTAGTAGTAGTAGTAGTAGTAGTAGTAGTAGTAGTAGTAGTAGTAGTAGTAGTAGTAGTAGTAATAACAATAACACCGCAAAACAAACATTAATGTTTATTGTTATTTTATCTAGTTGTCATTATGCCGTTACCAGTGTTGCTACTGTATATTTCATTATTAGCATCGTCATTTTTATCTTTTCACTCATTGATATCGTTATTGTTTCTGTGATCTTTTCATCACCATCGTGGTTATCTCGAGATGATGTTGTACTTAACAATGGCAGTGTAACCTTGTTAGTTCCCAACCTGGTTAATCCGGACGGATTGTTTTGCGTAAGAGTGTGTTTAGACGTGTACGTTCTCGTATTTTTACATTAACAACACCCGCTCCCATCATCGTTAATCCGGATACCTGCTAATCCGGACGGAATCCGCCCACATTAACGAGGTTATTCCTGTATTCACTGTGCATGTCAGGTTATGTGACATTCTCACTGCTCACTGATTAAACTGTTCTAATATACTGAACCACAAAAGAAATGTCGCACTGATAGCGGTTTCTTAAGGCACACACTTTTATTCACTCTAATGAACAATCAAAACGGAGGATTGAGTTCAAACTTGACAATTATGGTTAACATATTTTCGGGATTCACTTTAGAGTTCACACAAGCAAATCACCAAAACTGGTACCATTAAGATACCCCCGAGTCAGTATTGTGTGTGGCCTCCATGGGCATCGATGAAAGCGTTGCATCGTCTGTACATGGAATGAATTAGCCGGTTGATGAAGGCCATAGGCACTTAGGGTCCATACTCTGTGAAATGCCTGATCGAGTCCAGCAGCAGTTGTCGGCCTAGGGTGGCGGTCATTCAGTTTTCTTTGAATCTCGTTTCGGTAGATTGTCCTAACATGAACATTGGCAGTCTGGCCAACTTGCAATCGTCCGAAGACTTGGTTCCTCTGATTTCTCGTAATTCGTGCCTTGACGATTGTGTCAAAACAAAAATGATTTCGGGCGAGTTTGGGACTCGCTTTCAGTGGTAGGGTTGTCACGATCTGCACGTGCATTTTCATTTTCACGAATATCATACGGAACCGTTTATCACGTCTGCCTTTTTAGGTGCGTGTGTTCGAAATGCTATTTTATCAGAAAACACACTGACGTTGGTAATAACTGTCAATTTGGATTCAAAAACATGTTAACAAAACGATACGATCATAATAAAAACACAATTTTGTAAAAACAAAATCTTGCATTTGGTTTTGAAAAGCGACGTTTCTTTTGTGGTTCAGTATATATTAAACCAATATTTGTAGGTATAAATACTTTCCATATCCACACGCACATTTGTACTCCTGCAGTTTTAATGAACCGGTTACCAACATTTGACTTATTCAACCCGAAAGTTCGTGATCTGGTTGGTCATTTATCAGGACTCAGATATATGTCAGTGTGTGTCACGTCTCTTGGTTCTGAGACATATTTCTTTACGAAAGCCAAGGCTTTACTAGCCAGGATTCACATCGGTTGTCGGTACGGTGGGGTAGCCTAGTGGTTAAAGCGTTCGCTCGTCTCGCCGAAGACAAGGGTTCGATTCCCAACATGTGTGCAATGTGTGAAGCCCATTCCTGGCGTCCCCCGTCGTGTTATTGCTGGAATAGAAAACGGCGTAGAACCCAACTCACTCACTCACATTGGAGTTTATTTTTTCGCCGCCTTTCGCAAATTCCAGCAATATCACGGCTGGGGACACCAGAAATGGGCTTCACACATTGTTCCCATGTGGGGAATCGGCTGTCACGAAGACTCCAGACTTGTAACAGTTGCTCAACCACTGACAAGCCTAACGCTTTAATTCTTAATACCTAATGCAAACATCCTCTGTTTAAACTGAACAAAATGAAAAAAACATTCGGCACTGAATCGGAGATAAACTAGACTTGCTTTATGAAGGGCAGTATGAATACAGTAAGGGCTGGGCAGAAGGTGAATATTGTCCAAGGACAGTGAAAGCGGTGGGGAAGCCTAGTGGTTAAAGCGTTCGCTTGTCATGCCGAAGACTAGGGTTCGATTCTCCACATGGATACATTGTGTGAAGACCATTTCTGGTGTACTCACTCACTCGTGACAACCAGTGTGAGTGAGTGGGTTGGGTTTTACATCGCTTACTCACTCACTCACTCACTCACTCAAAGGACAGTAAGGCAGACTGTTCCCCTAAAGTAATAGCGCCAACGTTTTATTTGGAAAGGGGATTGTGTCTTTATTATTTTTTAAAGAGAGCCCTGAGTGAAGTGGAAGTTTAAATATCACCACTGCTTTATTTGCTATAAAGATAACGGGTAAAGTATGCAGCGTTGTGCTCGGTATACCCGTACAATGGAGCCAGTCTGAATAGGACCGATACAAATATTGGCTGTAAGGGCGTAATTCAAAGGGTTTCTTCCTGTGTCACTCAACGACGCCCTTAGTATTCAACATACACTGGCTAAAATATAAAGGAAATGAAAGGTTTCTTTCATATGTTGCCTTTGTCGTATACCATAGACATGTATATGTATATACTCACACATACAAACATGTATGTGTTTGAATGACAGAACTGACCGAACTGCCACTATGCCGTACACCTTTTGCCGGCGTCAGCATTTGGGACAGCACAGCACAGCATAACCCAACACAGCACAGAACAGCACAGCACAGCGAAGCACAGCAAAGCGAAGCACAGCAAAGCGAAGCACAGCAAAGCAAAGCATGGCATGGCATATATCGCTGCAGTAAGACTGTACATTATTACGTACACCATACATACAACGTCTGTGTGTTGCATAATCTGTGTAGCTGTGTAGGTCGATGCTCATGACATCAATCACTAGATTGTCTGGTCTGAATATTGAGTGCGGCGTCAAACAATACGCGAACGAACTTCCTTGTCGACAGTCGCTGTGGGGCAGCTGCCTGTCTGGGGAGCGGAGTCTCTGTGGTTCACTGTCACATCATAACAATACGTGTTAAATGAAGCTACTTGTTGTTACCCTGTCTGGTGTTTGACAATAAGGGGATATAACAAGGCCTGGTCGGCTCAGTCAGTATACTGTGTCTGAGCGAAAAAGACATTGTGGTATGGCATGTCAATAGGTTAGAACCATAAACCCCGTACTAGTCCAGACTGGTAGACACGCAGACGCACAGACGCACGTGTATTAACCTGAACGCTGGGTTAAATACCCTTTCACCACGCCCTACTTCACGGTTTATAGTCTTTTATTCATACAGTGACGCTAACGTTATTTACTCCGCCCGATCCTACGGGTCATATATACCATTGATTCAATGATTGTAAGCAGCACACAATATCGTCGGCCATGACTTTATTGGCGGACACCGGTTAGATGTTTTTGCGTCGTCGGGGTGACTGGTCGTGGAGGACAGCAACGTTCAATACCTGACCTCATTAGTCAACCATGCATGTAGACACAAAGGTTTATACGCCACCCAGAACTGAATACATCGCAAACCTAGGACGAGAGTTACGTTTACAGAACTCATATATAGATCTGCCGCTGTGTCCATACGAAGGTGGCTGAAATGGTTTTCAGCCAAATTATGATCGACTGGATGGATGAAGTGCTTTCTGAATATTTTTTAATATCAGTTTTTTATGAGGTCCTAAAACCACTTCTGGGGCGTCTTGATCACGTTGGTGTACATGACTTCCTCCTGGTGGTATAAAACATCAACAGCAGAAACGACGTCATCATTTTTAAATAATTATTTCCAGAAAGTTCCTTCTTCGGGTTTCTC